TAATAAAAATTAAAAAAAAAAAAGAAATGTTACAGTGGATCCCTGAGAAAAGTTCTAAAATGACCTGAAATAGTGCCTTTATTAATTACCAGCCACAAGAAGCTTTTGCTGTCGCATTTGTTCTTTCAACAATAAGTGCTGCAGGAGAGCTTGGTGGCTGCTGTTGGGCTTTCCCTCTAACGCGACGTGAGCATGGCTGGAGGATGTCGGGATGCCACTGCCATACTGGCCTGGCAGAGGAACACCTTGCCTGAGCATCTGTGTCTCACACTTGTGCTTCTCTTTGAGTGAATTTGAAGCCTGTGTCAAGACATAATGAAGACGTGAATCCTCAGTTGCATAGGAAAAGAAACTTTTAGAGTTTTGTACATCACGATGACTACGATTATATAAATGACAAAGTATACATGTCAATTTCTCAGGGAGTAGCTAAGTGTTCTTACCACAAAAAAGTGCAAAGAAATGCACATGTTCATTAGCTTGATTAATTCAGTACACTACATAGATCAAGATACCATATTGCAAACCATAAATACATGAAAAATTCGTACACCAATTTAATAAAAATTGAAGTTATTTTAGGCTTAATAAGTGGAAGCTTACTTCTAAAATATTTTTAAATGCACTGCTTAAAAGAAGGTATGTCGAAAAGTTAGAATTTTTTCAAATCATTAAACTAAAGAATATAGATAGGAAGAAATCTCTAATTCAGGAGTTCATGTAAAAGACACAATGCACATTTTCTTTACGTCTCCTCTAATAATTTCACAGAGTTTTAAGTTTCCAATATTTAATTAAAAAAATTCTCTGACTCAATGAAAGCAGGTTCTAAAAGGCCAAAATGTGATTTAAATATGTATTTTATATTAATTCATAACAGATCCCCAAATCTCTGAATATTAAAAATGACAGTCTAGATACTTTTGTATAATAAAGAAAACTGCAAGTGAAATCAGATATCAAATAAAAGTGTTATTAAGAACTTGAAATGTATGGTAACACAGTAATAAGGCAATAATAATTATACCATCAAGAGCAATAATGAATTATCCTATTTAAAGAATGTAATGAATGGTGGTCATTTTGGAATTACAAAACAGAAGTCTAATACCTCAAAATTATGTGGCATGTTTCTTTTCAAAACTTATGTTTCATCTTTCAAAATTACTGTGCACCAGGGAAGCAAAGCAATTTTCAGTGATGGAGAAATTAAAGAACAAAGAGGTAAATGGTTTGTCTGAGTCACGGAGAGAGTCAATCCAATGTTTAATCTACAAGTGATGCCTGGTCCTAGCCTCTTTTTTCAGTCTTCCACTATTCAAGAGGGGAAAGGGAATATTAGAACTCTCCACCAGAGCAATGCTGAGCTTGAGAAATTAATTGTGATGGCCTCATCCACACCAAAATGGAAGCAAGGAAAGTGAAACTAACCCAAACCACATTGGTTTATTCATCCAGTGGTACCAAATTGAGTTGCCATCGAAATATTAAATGGTCTGGCTTTAGTGCTTGGTCCTTTGTGAAAAATGTTTCTCTGACCACATTAAGAGTGGTGCGTGTGTGAATTAGTGAGGACGCATGACCGAGAGCATGTAAAAATCGTGACATCAAATGCCTATTCATGTATCATAATATTGGGGGATGGTATTTGCATACATTTAAAATGAACAGGAAAAACGGGAATGAAAGAAAATTAATTTTAAGAAGTGAGGATTTATAGATATCCATGTCTTATTTTTAGTTTCATTTCTAATTTCTTTTTACATTTCATTATAGTCAGTTATTTACACATCTTTGTGAAATTTCAGCAGTGTAACTGATTCTGGATTTTCAAGCCTTTCTTCCATGAAAGAGTCATATCCTCAACCTGCCTTCTCCTCAGTGGTATATGATCACAGCCTCATACAGGATGACGATATAGTCTATCAATAATCCAGACGTAATGCAATTTTAGATCTAATAAAAATATATGTGTTGAAGACAAATGTGACTATGGCAGGCCAAGTTCAGAAAACTTGATGCTCTGAGGGGCAAATCTTGTGACCAAGGTTGGAATAATTTTCTCTTTAAACATAATCTATCACCTGACTTCTGTGCATGTACAGTTAATTTACTTACATTTCTAGGATGAATTATCCTGGGTAAAGCTGATAAATCTTTGGTAACAAGTACAATGTACATTATTTTAGAGAATGTGTATAAATAATTACTGTTATCTCCTGCTAGTAGGATAGGTTCTCCTCAGGAGACCCTATTTCAGTTGTCAAGACTTTTAAACTAACTAATTCACATGGAGTCTCCTGGGAATACTGAAATGTTGGTCTTAGAGAGTTTTTCCAGATATGCACTCTATGGTGCACAGAGTCAGTAAATTCCCAAAATAAAGTCATTCACAAAACCAATTCTCTAAACACGGGTTGCTGTGTGTCAGAGGCTTGTCTCTCAGCATGGCCTGGGGGTGTCCCAGGTCTGCCACTCATTCCTTGGTTTTGTGACTTTGAGCTTTTTTAAAAAAATATTTATCTAATAACCACATACTTAGAAGAAGCTTCTTTGAGCTTTTTAAAGTCCCCAGTCTCAGCTTCGTCTTCTGCACAAATGTAGCTTGTAATCACTCTAACAATGGATGGATGTGGAAGCTCCTGAAGTTACAAGAGGAGAGTGCCTGTTCTGTTGTTGTGCTTTGAAAAAGTTAAATACCATCACACAAGCTATTTATTTTTATATATGACCACATGAACCAATTCTGTGGTTTGAAACTAAACTGAATGCCTTTGGATAAAGCAACATGAAGAAAATAATGAGGAAGAATTTGTCTCTAACAAGTTTCTCAAGTCAAAATATGCAGACAGTAAAAGGGAGTCCCTGTATAAAAGTGTCCCTTGTGCTGGTGGTTTAGGCAGAGGGGATGCCATGGCTTACATTGAGTGGAGGTGGCACTGCTGGAAGTCCCAGGGTGATGTTGGGCAGAGAAGGGGAGGTATACAGACTTAGCAGGTTCATAGAATCTTCATGGATTAGAATGCGCTGCTGGGAAACCAGTTGCTGTTGAAAATAATAATAAAAGGAGATTCTCAAAATGTTACCAGGTCATGAATTTTACTGTAAAATGTTCAAATTCCATAAAACAATTTCTACATTACCTTAAGTAAGAAAAACATTTAAGTATTTATTTTTTATTTCTACATAAAGTTACAAGTGTAAAAATTAAATGGAAATTTTTATCAGACAGCTATAAAATATGAAGAAAGAGCTTCTACATCTGTTTTGAAAAGCTACTTTAAAAAATCTGGCTTTGAAGAATATAATCAATATGTTTGTTATGTATGGGAAATGTTAAACAATCAAATTTGCTGGTTCTCATGAGTATTTTTATACTTTCTTATTCTAACAAGTAGGAAAGACACATACATTGTAGAATCCTAACGATGGTCATCATTTGAGTTCATGTCATTTTACTGACTGGAAGCTATCAGGAGATTAAAACCACTGCAGAAGGACTTCTAAATTAATCATATTTTAATATCATAATTATTAACATTTGGTATTATTTTACATCATATACTTTAGAAAATTAGGTAAATATCAAAATGTTATGAGTTCTCTGTCCCACAATAATCTTCACTAAAAAACACTCAGTGTTTTGGCACCTCAGTGCTTTTTACAACAGATACTTTTTTTTTTTTTCTAATTCAACACTGAGACATGTTTTCCCACATGTGGCCTAATATGGTTTCTTGAATTACATTTTCTGTTTAACTCTTGCTTCCCTCCAAGAACTTTTATAAAATAAGAGTTACAAAGGTCTTATTAGACTAGGGAACTCTGGCCTGATATGGTTCCCAGGGGAACAACATCCTTGAAAAAGAATACTCCATGTAACAGTATGACACAGTGACTGCTTTCTTCCCAAACAAAAAGCATATGGGACTCCAATAATAGACCACCTCCAAGAGGGATATTGCACACACGGGCTTTGACTAAAGTAAATATAATAACTTGTCAAGCATGTTTGGGGGAGCTGTAGATTTTCCTCAGGACAAACCTGGGATATCAATTAACGGGGAAAATATCATGTGCTAATACAATGCCATCTCAGAATGTCACTGAAGAGTGATGCACCACCAAAACACAGGATGTTATTCCAAAACATCATCTCAATCATAGGCTGTTTGGAGATGAGTCTCAGCCTTAACATAATACGAGCAGAAGCTTAGAGCGGGGTTTTCCCTTTGTAATTTGGATCTCTGACTCAGATTGTGTTTCTCCTTAAAAGAACATGTCAGTTATTTGTGCATGAAAATCATGTGTTATTTTGAACTATTAATGCTTAATTGATTTATATTGCAAAACTAAAGTTGTCTAAAATGCAAAAGCATGAAGATTATTGGGAAAGATTTTTAAATTGTAATGTATGTGATTATAATTTTATTTTAGGAACTATGAGTAATAGCTGCATATTTGCTCTAAATGAAAGGGCAAGCAACTATTTTGCTTATATAATATGCTTTTTGATATGTTTTAGTATAGAATACATGCATGAACAACAAGAAATAAGATATAAGGAAGCAAAAGAATATTTTAACTAGCTCATTGGCAGCAAATCCTATTTTAAAATAAAAGGAGAGCCCACTCATCTGTGGACTGTAATCAAATGTCTGGACTCACAGAAGAGAAATCAATGTGGAAAAATAAGCACTTGAACTTATAATTTTCATTCAAGGTTGAATCTGCTTCTCACCGTAGTGACCTGACTCAGACTATAGGAAGGATATTGGAAAAGCCTCGACCACAGACAAGCTGTTGTCTCTATTTACCCGAGATATTTCCGTGATGCCCTCCTACCTCATCCTAGGAAGACAATACACTTAAGTGAGAAATAGATTTCTGCTTAGATGTGGTGAAGGCAGCAGCTGACAAGCTGCTCACACAGGCTCTGCCTGAAGTGAAGGAATTTGTTGGTATTCCCTTTCAGATACTGAAATCCCTGTAATTTAACATTAAAAAAAAAAAAATCTGTGCCTCTGTCTCCCATGGTGGTATACCGACTTTCAGTACCTACCATGTACCAAGCCTGTGCAAGGGATCTTTTGGAGGGTAACATCTTCTTCATCAGTACTCCCTTGCTACCCTCATGATCAGAGGGCTGAGAAAAGCGAGTGAAACCATTCTGCTCCCCAGTGATACCAGCAGTGCTATTTTCAAGTGCTCGCCACTCTGGCTCCCACGGAAGGATGGGGGAGGGGCAGCACAAACAAGTAAGAATGGCCATCATATTCAAGTAAAGAGACGTTAAGGAGAAAATCTGGGAGCTCATTAAGGAGACAGGCCTGGTGATGATGAGACCTCATCATAGATCTTGTCATGATGGAAAAAATTCCCTAACATGTAAGGAATATTCTGTGTCCCCATGTCTGTGGATATAGTTGGTTCTTCTCATAGAGACAAACATAGCCTGAACTTGAGCATTACTGAATTTATCTCCCTCAGTACAGGTAAGTGAACAAGTACAGAGTTTATGGAGACTGAGTGTTTGGAGTCATAATGAAGAGAATAGAGCAACCATTTCCCTCAAATCATCTTTTTTGAATACAGCCTTCTTCAGCTAGGCTTTTTGCTAAGATCAATCTATCTGTTCCAGGTCAGTGTGTCTTACTAACACCTGAAACAGTATTCAACACTGCTAAGTGCAGACTGTTTGTGTAGAGCCACCCACTCAGCTAGCGAAGTGACCCTGTTGGTGACTTGCAAGGCAGGTGTGCTCCTCCATCTCAGCACTTGTGAGCTCACAAGGATTTTCAGAAAAAAATCAGGATTATTCCAGGAAGAGATTTTGAAAGAGCTAGCCCTTCATTAGTACTATAGTGCTGAGACATCAACATGCGGCAGCTTAGAACATAGGAAAGACGGCTTTAATCTCAAACATTTCCAGAACTGGAAAATTTTACTGTAGGCAAAGGAACTTTTAATATTAAATGTATAATTGGCTATCATATAGTCTTTATAGAAACCGTTACCGAGGAACTCAACAGTGGTAAATGGATGGTGTTGGGTGCTGGGCATGCCAAGATGCACTGTACCTCATAACCACATGTTAGTCAGGTGGTAAGAAAAATGTAGAACTAACTTCAGTGATTGTTATATGAACTATTATAACATTAGATTTGAAACATTTGGAGAGGCACAGAGGCAGAGGCAGGTGGATCTCTGTGAGTTTGAAGCCAGCCTGGTCTTCATGGTGAATCCCAGGCCAGCTGGGGCTACAGGAAGACCCTGTCTCAAAAAGACAAAAAGACCAAAAAAAAAAAAAAATGTATCAATTTAAACACAGTCATTAACGGGTAGTTGCACTCCACATTTTACAAGGCACTTGATTCTGAGATAAAGAGGAGGAATTGAGCCTGGAAGTGAGATGAAGAAGGCATACTCAGATTTTAGTAAGATCTTCCAAAACCCTATTTAACCTTCTCAGTGCAATGCCAACTGGAAGAAGGTCTTGCAGATGACATTTGCCATTCTGGTGAATCAAATGCACATAGAGTGAAACTGCATGGCTCTCCGTGGAGATGTCCATTTAGCCATCAGCCCTAAGAGGCTACTGGAGTGAAAAGATTTTGAGTCTCTCCAAAAATGGGCACAGATGAGAATTAGAAGAATGGGCATTATCAAACATTCTGGATCAAGGGAGGCTAGAGAGTGTGGAGGAGTCTACTGGTGCAGTATTTCTGGGGAACAATTTAACAATATAAACCTTAACTACACCAGCTATCATGGACCTAGTGACTCTTCTGGAAATAAGAGCTTCAAGAACGACTTTCATGACACTATCAGGATGACTAACTATGGCGGTATTCCTTAGCATTTCCTGATGATGAACAGGTACTGGCTGCTTCCTGCACATTTCTGGGTATAGAAAATGGAGCAGAACACCCCCATGAACTTTTACAGTGATTAAACGCATGTGTAAGTTATTACTGGATCTAAAAATACATGCTCAGTGATAATAGTAAGAAATGAAATGAGGTAAATAACACTGTGCTATTTATAGTCCCTAAAATGTGTAAGACACAAAACAAATGGTATGTACAACAGAAGACTCCATGTAAGCAAAAACACAGGAAAGAATGGCTGCCTGTGGGGACAGGGGAAACGAAAGTGGGAAAAGAAGATGCAGGAGAGGACTAAGAAGGGAGGGAGGGAGGTGCAAGGAGGGGCAGGGAAAGATAAATGAGCCAGTGCCTTTCTTATTTCTAGGGGAGAAAAGCCGATTGATGGCTCCCAGTGGAGTACTGGTTGTGTAAATAACTGCCCACTCTTGACGCTCATAAGTGAAGATAGAATTTTCAGTTTACTGAATGTTCACAATTACCTGCAATAGGCCGGAGAATCAGAAAACTGAAAAAAAAAAGTACATCCAGAACTTTGTTGAGAAATCTGGGTTGGTGAAAAAGTTTATTGTGAACATTTCACAGTGGAGTTCTACTGTGTTACCTATGAATGCAAGCAGCCATCTACCTTCCTTGGATTATAGATCCTGCAGCCTAGTACCTCTGACTAGCTCTTTCAGAGAGCATCAGCGCCTATCAGCAGGACAGGAAAAATATACTTCCAGTGGCCATCAACAAATTTAGACAACTGAAAACATGACAGCCACATTTAAGCAGATTCCTTAATAATTTAATATTTGTCTATGAATTTAACAGGTTCAAGATTGTATTTCTTTTCTTTTAGATAAATGAGAAACAAAGTTTTAAAGCTCCATTTAAGATTAAAAAGAAAATTTTCAGGCAGGACAATCTCTAAGTTTTTATTTTCAATCAAAACTCAAGGGCTTCTTACTATAAACTGTGAAACCAAACTGTGATGGTAATAATAATAATGATAATAATAGTAAATAATAATAGTTTGGCAGAGTTTGCTTTGCATTTGAAAGCTTGTTTTTCAACTTTGCATTTAGGATTTTTAAAGATCTTGCTTCACAATATTGACTCATGTGATTCCCAGTAAATGGTTATTGGGTCATAGCAACTCCTTTTCCAAGGGGC